TAAACTATGGAAGATACTATTTTTGGGGGGTTCTCAGCACACTTTTCTACCTCACCTCCCTTCACCTTGATCATTTATTTATTTGTTTGCTCCTTAAAAGGACCTCCTCTCTGCCAGTGATCTTTCTTTTTACCCTATCTTGGCCTCCCCTGATCATAACCCTAAGTTTTATTCCTAGTAAGATGAAAAATGGGGGAAAGGAGGGCAGCAAGATCACTAAGAGGGTATGGCCCTTGCCATCATGCCTGAAGACTTGAATTTGATCCCTAAGGACCTACATGGTGGAGAGAACCAACTCCTGAAGGTAGTCTTCTGACTTCCACACACAAGCCCCCCCACACACAAATAAATAAATAAATAAATAAATAAATAATAGACATAAAAGAAGAAAACTGGAGTCGCCACTGAATATGAACTCTTAAGGAATTCCTCTGGGGGAAAACAAGAAGAAAAAGAAAAGGAGAAGGGGGAGATGTGGTGACAGCAAGAAGGGAAGTAACATCTAAAGAGGGTTTTTGAGTTTTTTCTCTCCTCTAAATTGAAGAAGTGAACTACATGTTTGTTTGCTGGTAGAGATGGGAGAAATGATGCTGTATGAAGCAGAAGGAAAAACAGCTTGAGCAACATTCTTGAATAAAGCAGGAGGGAGCACAAGCACACATAGAAAGCTGACTTCTATCTAGGAAAAGGCCATCTTTAGCATCAAAAGAGAAAGCAAATGTTCCAGTAGGTGAGAAGCTAAGGCAGTGAGAGACTGTAGAAGTTCTGAGTCAGTGCATGAAGAGGAGGTGATGGAGGCGGAAGAGAGGCTGTTTTACAGAACAATCATCAGAGTGAGAGGGTGACATCAAAGAAATATCTAAGAATCGTGACAGCAGCAATGTTGGAGAATCTAAGATAGGAGCCAAATTTTTCAGAAAGTGAGAGTGACTAAAGGATCAGTAGATCACAGCAATGGAAAGAGGCGGAAGACAATACACTGGGACAAAATGAGATACTTTTAGAGAGCAGGAAAGGAGATTGATCAGGACGTGTCAAGGAAAGGACAAAGGAGACACTGCTGCTATCTTCAGAGGTACTGTGGTGAAAAGGCTTTGAGAATCAGCCAGTGCTCATCAGGACTTTGAGGGAAGCGGTATCATCAGGGGATCATCGGGTTTTGGTTAGTGCAAGAAAAGGGAGCGAACCTTTACAGAAGCTAAACAGAAAGGAAACCACATAGCAAGAAGCGCTTGTCCTCATACATATTTCGTATATGGCTTTAAAAGAACAGTGTCTTCACAAATGCAAGTAAGGGGGTGGAGGAAGAGACAACAGGACAAATAAAAGGTAGCGAATACGCATAGAGAAAGATGCTCAACAACACTATATATCAGAAAATTGCAAATTATACAAGATACCACCACACACCCAATAAAACGGCTCAACTCCAAACACTGACAGCATCAAATGTGTTGAAAAGATAGAAACATTTATTCATTTCTGGTGGAGACACAAAATAAATAATACAACCACTATGGATGATCTGAAAACTTAAGTCCACACAAAAACCTACACACTAACATTTATGGCAATCTTATATATAATTGCCAAAACTTAGAACCAGCCAAAATATCCTTCAATAAGTAAATTATAGCACACAAACTGTGTACTATAAACTGAATTGTATCCTCCTAAGACTTGTATGTTGAAGTCGTAATCCCCAATATAATTATATACAGAAACAGGGTCTGGAGACCCTGTCTTGAAAGAGAGAGAGAGAGAGAGAGAGAGAGAGAGAGAGAGAGAGAGAATTGACAGGAGGTCATCAATTTTAACAAAAAATATCACACTAATATAAAATGTTACCAACAGAGGAAATGGTAGGGAAGAAAGAAGAAATATGTGTTATTATATGCACTATCTGCACAATTACTCTATCAGTCTAATATTATACTTTCTTAAAAGATTAAGTACTAGGGCTGGAGAGATGACTCAGTGGTTAAGACCACTGGCTGCTCTTGCAGAGAACCTGGGTTCAGTTCCCAGCACCCCCATGGCAGCTAACAACCATCTATAACTCCAGTTCCAGTGGTGACCTCTGTGGACACTTCATGACACAGGCGCACTTACATACATGCAAACAATATACTCATTCACATAAAAAATAAAAATAAATAAAATATTAAAAAATTAACAAAAATAAAGAGATTAAGTACTATATTAAATATAATTTGAGAGATGAAGGAGAACTGATGAAGGTTGGAGGCCACACTGGGCTACTTAGCAAGACCTTGCACCAAAAGACCTAACAACGACAACAATAATGAGGGCCAGATATGGTACCACATGCCTAAAATCCTAGCATTCAGGAGGCTAAGGCAGGAAGCTCATCCTGACTGTAACCTGGACTACACAACAAGATCCTGTCTTTAAAAAAAAAAAGAAAAAAGAAAATCAACTAAATAAATAAGCAAATGTAAGAAATAATAAAATATTTCTGTGTGAAATCAAATTTCCATAAGCTTTTCCTAGAACACAGCTGTTCTCATTCATTTACATCCTCTATGGCAGCTCTTTCACTACAACAACAGGATGGCTGCTACAGAGACCGCAGAATCACAGTGCCTAAAATATCCACTATCTGGACCTTCTCAAAACTGTTTACAGATGCCCGCTCTAAATTTCATTCTCAAGTTTAGAAAATAAATAAAAGCACATCCTATCATAAGTTAGGCTGAGATAGTCACTTCCTTTAAAGCATTCAAAGTTGTTAGAATTGTAAGAAATAGCAATTACATAATCTGATTTTTAAAATTCAACTAGACCTTTTTCTTTATTTTCTTTTTTTTGGGGGGGGGCGGTATTTTTTGAGACAGGATCTCCCTGTAGCCCCAGCTGGCCTGGAACTCACTATATAGACCAGGATGGCCTTGAACTCACAGAGATCCGCCTGCCTCTGCCTCCTGAGTGCCTCCAAGGCATGCACCACCACACCCAGCTGCTTCTAATATTTTTAAAATATCAAGTACATCAGTAAAATAACTGAACATCCAAAACAGCAACTCCTACAGAATTCATTGTTATTGAGAAACCCTAGCAGATAGTAGTGTCAAACTCTAGTGCTTGCAAAAGCTACCCTACCTACTAGACGGCCAAGGAATAAATGTATTCAACCAAGAGAAGACTGTTGACAATTTGAAAAGGGAAACATGAAAAACAATGGGAAATGGGCATACTCAAGAGGGGCAGAGCAGAATACCTAAGGAGTCAATCTACTGCAAAGAACTGAGGGCTTTGTTAAAGAATTTAACAAAAGGAAAATGCAGCCAGTTAGTATCAGAATGCAAGACAAAATAAAACTAGCAGGAAATGTATCACAGTTAGTTTAAGAAATACCATAAAAGGGGCTGGAGAGATGGCTCATCAGTTAAGAGCACTGGCTGCTCTTGCAAAGGACCTGGGTTCAATTCCCAGCACCCATATGATGGCTAACAACCATCCAAAACTCCAGTTCCAGGAGATCCAATGCCCTCTTCTGACTCTGTGGGCATTGCATGACATGGGTACACTTACACACATGCAGGCAATACACTCATACACATAAAATAAATATAATAAAATATTTAAAAATTAAAATTAAAAGAAAATACCATAAAAATGTAATAGTCAATTAGTTAAGAAAACAAATCACAACTACCCAGCATATTGAAGTAGACTTCCTAAGAGCTGAGGCATCTTAGGAAGAATCTAACCTTTAGAAATTAGGAAACCATTACAGAGTTGAAAGACCAAGAAGTACAGGCTTTGAAGTTAGACAACCCTCTTTCTGGTCTCACTTTTACCACTCACTACCTCTAAGACTCTGAGCACACATTCTCCCAGCCTCGATTTTCACATCTATAAAATGGCAGTACCTCATCAGACTGTTGTGAAAATTAAAATAATTGCATTTAAAGTGCTTAGCAGGATGCCTGACAAAAATAAAGTCCTAAACAAGTGGTAACTGTTACTATGACTAATGTATGTGCCTTGGGAAAATGCACTGGGGATGAAAAATCTAAACTATTCCAGAAAGTCTTAGAAAAGCTACCCAAAGAATTAAATAAATCTCCCATAAACTATAATTTTAGAGAAGATCTGCCACTGTAAAATTAAATGAGGACATCCAATACATGGAAGTCAGTGTTCACTCACATGCTACGGTGGAGTGTTGATACAAGAGAGAAAAATGCCATTCTGGGTCCCGGCAAACTATAGGCTCATTATAGCATCCTTCTAGGCAACTACAGAATCCCAATTTAATCCTGGATCCCATTAATACTATGACTTCCTATCAAGAGAGGAATAACAAAATCTAAACGTTTAGATGACAGCTTCTCCACTGACATCACTACCCTCGATTCCATTCTTCCTGGACACCAAAACAAAGCACGATATACTTAACAAGAAAATTCAAAGCTCTGTTTGGACAGCAGTCTGGATTCTATCAGCTCATATCACTGTTAAACCTAGTAATCAGGAACGCAAGGTCAGGCGCCTGGGTGCTTTGCTTCTCTGCCAATTTGGTGATCAATCTGTAACCAACAGTGAAAGCTGAAGGATGGGGACTTTTTTTTTCTGTGTATTTCAACCATTTTCTCAGGCATACAATGAGCGCGTACACACACACACACACACACACACACACACACACACACACTTCTCCCCTCCACTCCGCCCACATCCCACAGTCTGAGAAAATAGCTTGGAGCCTTTTGGGGCGGCCACAGTCATCCTGGTGAGTTATGGTCCCTCAAGGTCACCAGGAATAAACGGTGGAAAACGACAGCAATTCCGATTAAGACATGTCACTCTCGCCGTGGCACAAGCCCAACGGCTCTGCGAGTGTCTCCCACGACCTGCAACGAGTGGCCTCGCTCCCTAGCAAGGTTCACCCACACCTGTCACTACCGCCGGGCGGAAGTGGAGAAGAAAATCTCGTGGACGCGGACCCGAGTACGTTCGCAGATTCCACTCACCCCAGTCTTCATCAGGTCCGTGAGGAAGCACCGGACTAAAAGGGGAGTCCATCCCGCCGGCCACACCAGCCGGCTCCCCCGAAACACAAACCCTCAGCCTTGGAACTGAGTAGTAGCTGAGACGGAGGCAGCCAGCGGACAAAATACACCGGAACGCAGACGGACGGTGGCCGAGGGAAGACAAACTTCCTCACCGCACGAGGGATTTATGGAAATATGCCAAGGAGACGTCAGCGAATAAGCGAAATAGACGTCTCAGTGAATATTTATTTCCCTGTGGGGATTTCAGCACTTTCTGTCCCGCTGGGGGCTGTTTCTTTTTTTTGGGGGGGGGGGACGCGTGGAGGAAGGCAAGCTACTCTGCTTCAGTTAAACAAAATGTGTTGATAATATTAAAGTGAAAAGACTCCTTTCTGAACGTAGTGGTTTGTTCCTTGGTTGTGCTTCTTAATACTACGACGTAGATTGCGCAGAACAAAATTAAAGACTGACTTTCTGTCCCGCTGGGGGCTGTTTCTTTTTTTTGGGGGGGGGGGACGCGTGGAGGAAGGCAAGCTACTCTGCTTCAGTTAAACAAAATGTGTTGATAATATTAAAGTGAAAAGACTCCTTTCTGAACGTAGTGGTTTGTTCCTTGGTTGTGCTTCTTAATACTACGACGTAGATTGCGCAGAACAAAATTAAAGACTGACACTAAACCTGATTTAATTTATACGAATAATTTCTTAACGCTGTAAAAATTCTCCACGTACACAAGTGAACGAAAGACAATTTTCTACAGGATTGAAGGTAAGCAGTGTTATAAAGAATACTTAAACAAAGCCTACCTTTAAACAAATTTAAATAAAGCAAACATATACGATAAACTCTCCTTGTCCATACTTATCTCCTAAAGATGAATTTCTAAAGCCACTTGCAGTAGTTGTCAGTCTTTTTATTACTAAAATTCAAAATTTGAAATATTCTTAAGAGAAAATCACACTCATCGCGAATTCCAAACGAAAATTTAAATAGAGTTTGATGAAATAATTTCAAGAACGGAAGCTAGTAATGTTTCTTTTTCAGTTTCACTCCATTCAGTGGCCGGTGACTATTTTAAATTCGGTACGCGGATGCATGAACGAGGATCCCTTTAGGACCAAGAGGAATCCTTCCCGTGGTTACAAACAAAACAGAAATGTTTCCCAGAATCCTCCCAACTACCCGTGACTGGATATTACTACAGATTGCAGAATACAAGAAAGTGCCAGGAGCAAAGTCAGGTCAAAGTTTATGAATTCGAGCTAATAAGATGGCTCAGTGGGCAAAGTGCTTGACCCGCCGGTGACTATTTTAAATTCGGTATGCGGATGCATGAACGAGGATCCCTTTAGGACCAAGAGGAATCCTTCCCGTGATTACAAACAAAACAGAAATGTTTCCCAGAATCCTCCCAACTACCCGTGACTGGGTATTACTACAGATTGCAGAATACAGGAAAATGCCAGGAGCAAAGTCAGGTCAAAGTTTATGAATTCGAGCTGATAAGATGGCTCAGTGGGCAAAGTGCTTGACCCGC